AATCCTGAACTTAAAAGAATATTAGACGATGAGAGATTTAAATTATCTTGGATTGATTATAATGAGTTCAGAGATATCGAAGAAGAGGGAAAGGGTGGATTTGCAAATGTATATTCTGCACGCTGGTACGATAGAATTAATAGTGCGTGGAAAGGTGGTGCGCTTAAAGTGATTCGAGATTCAAAAGAAAGTGAGCAAGAATTTATCCAGGAGTTGAAAAATCACTGTGAAATTGGATACGTGAATCCGGGATGTAAGGGAGTGTCAAGAAATGATTATGGTGACTATATTATTGTTATGGATTATGCAGCAGTAGGTTCGTTGCGACAAAATCTTGAACAAGTTTCACAATTGGAATGGAAAGATAAATTGGGTATCTTGCACTATATAGCTTTGGTTCTAGAGTCGATTCATTCACAGGAACTCGTTCTCAGAGATTTACACAGCGGAAATATTTTGCAAGGAAGTAGCTTGCATGATGTGTATATTACTGATCTTGGACTTTCAAAAAAAGTAAAAGATGGGAAAATTTGTGGAATTCTACCGTATATAGCGCCTGAAGTTTTGATGGGTCAATTATATACTAAAGCATCAGATATTTACAGTCTTGGAATTATTGGGAAGAGATTTCGACCGGACAAAGAGCATTTGATGGAATTCCGTTTAATGATGATCTTGTGTCAAGAATTATCGAAGGAACAAGACCTAAATGTTTAGGACCTGATTGTTATATTAAATTTGCTATGAAATGTATGGATAAAGATTTTGATAGAAGACCTACCGCAACAGAAATTATTGAAATAATCACTCGTTGGTTAGATGAAATAGATCAGGTGGATGATAATGAAATCAAAATACGATTTTTGGAAGCTAATAAGGTTAAACCAGAATCGATTAAACAAATACACTCTCAAGATGTATATTCTAGCAGGCTATTTGTTACTCACAATTTTTTCTGAATATATTAGTAAATCGATTAGTATAGAATTTTGAGTAAATTCTCAAATTAATATTTAAATTATTTATACAAAATATGTGGTTTGTAACATGACTTAGGAAGGTGCAGATATAGGTTATCATCTTATCATTTGTGTTTTGGTGGTTTTTTTTGGGAGTAAGAATTTTTTTATTCTTTTTTTTTTTTTTTTTTTGAATTACGGTCTCAAACATTCTTCGAAATCTAACTTTATAAAAATATAAATTTTGAATCTAAAAATGATTGAGAATTACCAATGAAAATTTTCACAAGAACTCCGTTTTAACTTGTATCTAGTTTAAATGTTGTAATGCTATGATATATAAGTATTCTAATTATAGGTTAAAGTCTATTTTTTTTGAAATTAGCTTCTAAATCTACTCTTTACAGCTAACAACCATAACAAGTTCTCCTAAAACACCAAGAACTGGTAAAAGTCATCCTTTTATAGTTATTAGGCGAAACCTAGAGGTTTAAATTGATAAAAACACACCTAATTTATAATAAATCAATCTTTTCGATTATACTTTGACAAATATGTTCAAATACATAAAAAAAGCAAATTAGCCCTGCTTTATATACTAATGCACTCATAGTTTTTCCCACATTACATTCGGTAAAACCTTCAAATGAAGATAAACCTTTCGCTAAAGTAGAAAGATTTTTAGTCGGTAACTTTATATTAGTGTAATTTTCAATGTTTTTGATTTGTAACTTATACTCAAATTCAGATTTTCTTATTAAATAATGAAGAATTGCCTGGTCCACTTTATAATGTTAGTCACATATTTTTTTGCAATTTAATTATTTTAACAATCGCTATATTTTCATAAAGTTGTTAATTATCATTTAGAGATCTATTTAATGATCTTTATTTACTTGTTTTATTAATTTTTTAATTGATCATTCAAGCTTATTTGAAAGACTACATTCCATAAACTGGATATACTTAGCAGAAATCTTTAAATTTAGCTACATATAATTATCATATAGCTACGATATAATTTATTAATATATAATAGTAATCTGTTTAAATAATTAAATAATATTACTAATATCTTAACACTTAACAATATGATAATAAGATTATTAATAGTAATTTAACAGAATAAAAATATTTTAATTATATTTTAATTACATTCTTATTATATAGTAATCATATTTAGCAAAATCAAAGGTTCCTGAAAAGTATGTTTGTGCTTCAATGGATAAGCCTTCTTTTTCCACTGCTTTATTTTGCATGTCTGGATAGTTCAGATTCAGACTTAGAATCTGATAAGTGTATCTCTTCAGAACAATCCATTTTATATTTGTATTAAAGCATAATTTTTTTCTACATTATGTTAAGGGGTTATCTACCTTCGCCATTATTGTTTTTAAATATTTTCATTCCATGTACCTAATGTAAAAGAATTAAGGTTAAAAAGATTACTACTATAGAACCGGAAATTAAATTTTTATTATACTTTTTCATATATAGTGAATAAAGGCCTGTAAAAAAAATTCAATTGTATTTATTTTCCATATTATTTCCAGAAATGTATCATATTCCTGAAATTTTTATGGAAATTACAAGGACTTACACGCAAAATTCGGAAGAATTCCAGAAAGGTCTCAAATTAACGGAGTTTTTATTTATAAAGTGGAACTATAACGGACTTTTTTTTTATAGGGAAGGTTTGGTATATTTTAGCATGGACTAAGAATGAAAAAAAGACGGTTTAAACTGTTGTTTGGTTTGTTTAAACCATGTTTTTAAAAAAAATTTTAAAACATTAATGTTAAGACTAAAATTCAGTTAAAGCCAGAACTGCCGCTTCTGATTGTTATTTTGACATCAGCATTCTTAAAAATATTATTGAAAATATTTATAATTGCAAAGATTATAGAATTTTTTCAGTGGAGAACTTCCACAAAGTATAAATTTTAATATAAATATACTGCTATGTCCATATACTTGAGATAATTTTCTTAGTCTATAGTTAATGTTCTGCGTCAGTCACGAATCTTGTTGATTATTAATCGATCAGAGTCATTCTATAATTTTCATAGATTGAAGAATAACTTAATTTGATTTTTAATATAACTATCGAGCTTATTATCGTTTTAATTCAATTCATTAAAGACTTATGTTAATATTATATATTCGTTTACAAAGTAAATAAATAATAAAGTTTCTAGAATCTTATCATTTTTATTCTTAGACAAAAATTTTAAGCTTTACGTTCACAAATAAAAGAGCTAGTTTATCTGTTAAAAGTTCTTTATTATTTAAATAATTTATCGATTCTTATTTGTATGAATAAGGAAAAAATTCTTAGTCTTCACTTAATATTTAGCGTTACTTTATTATAACATTATCATAAAAAAAATAATGTAAACCCTTCTATAACGAACCGACAGTCTGAAAAAAAATTTAGTTAAAAAATTGTAACCGTATGTTTATTAAAGATCCAAAGCGTTTTATAACTATTACTGTATATAATTTGAAACTTTGAGTTCTATATGTTCAGAGTTCGTTATAGGGAGTTTTTATATAAGTCGACTATATATAAAAGAAGCTTATTGAATAAAAATAAAATTATTCTCATTAAAATAAAATATTTAAACCTGTTTCCTTTTAGAAAGGTTCATTAATTTATTAAGTAATTAACGAATCTATTAATAAAAATTTTTGAACTGTCACATGCTTATCCGGAGCACAACCTTGTACACATTTTCGGTAAGCCATATTGTCATTATAAAACGTATGTCAGAATGTATTAATCCATTTAAAATCAATTTTAAATCAAACAATCATGATTTTTTAAGATCGCTTTTAAATTTCGGGAATACTTGTCGAAGTGTTTCCGACGTCTGGGGTTTTACTCAATTGAATCTTACTAAAAGACTCGCTTTGCTTAATAACGAGGACTGGAGTATCGTACCAGATACTTCCACACATATACCACGTACAAAGTGATATGTTAAACACACACAGTTTATGCTTTAGACGTTTCTTTTATTATTAAAGACTTTCCTATCCTCTCTCTCTCTAAAACTAAACTTTTTCTAATTAATAAAGACCATTGTTCTATTTATATTACTTGATCATCGATCATGCAACGCGTAAGTTACACGAACCCGATCCTGACCCCGTGCTACTAAACACGTGTCAACCAAATCTACCGCGTCAATACTGTAAAATGAATCTTGTCGGTTGGTTTATAACTCGTGATTCGTGTTAGAATTCATAGTATTGCACTTTAAACTTCACGATATTGCATCACATAATGCTATACGTATTTAAAAAAAATAACAAATGAAATTTGTCAACTATACGAACATACTAAGTTATATCCTTTAAATGTGGCAAGAATTTTTTATAGTGTGTTTCAAAATTTAGATTGGATAATTAATAATCAAGTAAAATTCAAAACTTACATTTGGAATAAATTTACTCATTCATATAGTCAAGCAATTAAGTAGTACATATCATAATCATCATATAATAAAATTTTCTAACAATTTATCAATAACAGTAACGGTTATATCTATGCATAACTATTGTCATAATCATTGTGCGCAACCTAAATAATTTGTCATAGGAAATCGAACTATGCCAAAAAGCATCACTCAAAATTATACGCATCAGCCAATAGATTTTGAGATCAGGTGAAACGTGAAAGTCAAAAACAATCAAATAAAAGATATTTAAAGTTAACATTAAGGTTAGTGTTAGGGTGAGATTAGGCATAAGAACAGCGTATATGGGGTCTTTGCTTTGAAAATCAAGTATGGGGCATATGATTTACTATATTCCGTAACTCGATTTTCAAGGCAAAGACCCCATATATTAAATTAAATTTGACAAGGCGTTTTTTTTCCAGAGTGACGTGTGTATAACCTTACCCTGTTGATCATTTACGATATAGGAACCAAAATAAAGTTTTGTGGTATTTTGCATAACATCCATATAAATTACTAAATTTATTTATCCTGATTCCGGATATAAGGGACAATTTTGCGAAAACAGCGTCTCAAAATGCTTTTGACCACTTTGCTTGACTCCGTTCCTATTTTTCCTATCCGTCTTCAAAACACTACAGGTTCTATTTATGTAGCTAATGTGACCAAGCATACGACTGGTAGATCATTATTGAGTAACTTTTTAGAGTGTGTTGGACCGCTCATGATCCAGTCCTGTAAGCTTTTGTACCATGATAAGGACATACAGCTTACCGATACACTTGAAGAGCTAGGAATAAAGGTAAATATTTAATGCAGTAATATGACTATTCGATTACTATGAAACTTTTATATGCCGAAAAAAAATAAATACATATACAAAGATAATGAATTATAACATTTCTAACTTAGGAAGGAGGCAGTAGATAGTATCTGTAAAAATTCAATACAACTTTCTTGGTCGGATTTTAATTCTACACCAACTGAAGAAAGAAGTTCAATGATAATCAACCTGAAAACTCCTACTGAAAGAATAGAACTAAAAGTACGTTGGAGCGATACAATTATTCAGATTAAAGAGATGATACGGGATCTAAAAGGAATTTCCCCTGAAGATCAACGCATTAATTTTAATGGCATTGAATTAAAAATTTCTTCTAATACCCTATCATATTACAACATCCAAAATGAATCTACATTGCTTCTAGAATTTAATGAAATTATTATTTATTTGAAAACAAATACTGGAAAGACCATAGAGCTTAATCCAATGTCTAGTTATAATATTCGCGATGTTAAATTAATGATTCAGGATAAAGAAAACATCTCCGTTGTCCAACAATGTATTAATTTTAATGGAAAACAACTAGAGATTATCTTAACCTTAAGTATTGCAAAATTCACAAAGGGTCCATACTTTATCTAGATATTAAATCATTGATTATAAAGATTTATGTGAAAATAATGAACGAAAAAATTATAGAGTTAAAAGCAAGGAGAGATCACACTATTAAAGAGGTTAAGCAAATGATTCAAGATAAAGAAGGCATTTCTTCTGACCAACAATGTCTTTATTTTAAGGATCAATTGTATGATAATCACACCTTGTCATACTACAAAATCGAAGAAAAGTCTACGTTGAATTTAGAATATGATGAAAGAATAATAATGATCAATGTAAAATTAGCGGACAGAAAAATCATTAAGCTGGGAGTGAATAAAAATTACACTATCGAACGAGTTATGCACATGATCAAAGATAAAGAAAACATTTCCTCTTTTCAAGGAACGTATTTTTCTATTAATAACGGAGGAATGTTACGTTATAATGACAGTGTTTCTTCGGTGACCTTAGCAAATCACAAAATTAATGATGAGTCCACATTTAGTTTTATTCAATATAAACCATATTCTTATGGACAGATATTCGTGAAAACACTAACCGGAAAAACAATAACCTTAGATGTACAGTCGAGTGACTCCATTGATCAAGTTAAACAAAAGATCCAGGACAAGGAAGGAATTCTACCTGATCAGCAACGCCTCATTTTTGCTGGCATTCAATTAGATGATGGGCGTACCGTGTCAGATTATTATATCCCAAGAGAGTCTACGCTTCATCTCGTGCTTAGATTACGTGGTGGCATGTTTCAAGAAACCAGTGGTCGCAAAGAATTTGATGCATTGCCGCTGCTTACTAAATATATGCTAACTCCTGAAGAACGTCTACAAAACGGAATTCATGCTGGCATTCTTTGTAATTATTGCGGTAAACGTGAATGGAAAGGAGTGAGGTTAATATTCATTGTATTTAATTTGTTTGAAAATATTGAAAATATCAATTTTTCTTACTGATATTTTTTCCCTATTTATAGATATAAATGTTCCGAATGCTCTGACTATGACTTGTGCTTTAACTGTATTACAAAGTCCAACCTGCTTCATAATAAGCAGCATCATTTTCTAAAAATCTTGAATCCTCTAGATCCAAAGGAAGTTCCAAATAGTGCTTCTATTGCTTCTGTTACTATCTCTCCAATATTACCAGATACGAAAGAGAAGTTGTTAGCTCTGCTACGTGAAGAAGAGCGGCGAAGGTTTTCGCATGAAATGCAAGCAAAATATTTTAATGCTGGGAATGATCCTACGTGTGGTAAGGATTGGATGGATGTTACTGATCAAATGCAATATGAGTTGGTTCGAGACTTTGGATACTCAGATGAGGCAGTAGAATTGTTGCGACGTGCACCACAGCTTTATCCAGGTAAGGAATGCACACCTTCTGTTTTTTTTTACAATTGATATTTAATTATAGTGTCTTTTTTTTTTTTTTTATTATCAAGATGATCCTGAATTCCGTACAACTCAAGTATATGTTCGCAATAATATTGCTAATATCGGGAATCTAACTGAAGGAATGCCAGCACCAGATTGTCCCTTGGTTCCACTAGATTCTTCAATTTTTACATCATTAATTGGTAACGGTAATACCAATTCACCAACATTAGTTCATTTACGTTCACTTTGTAAATCAGGACGGCCTCTTGTTCTTCTTGGTGGATCGTATACTTGTCCTTTATACCGGTACATATCTCATGTACTCAATGATGTATATAATCTATACAAATCACATGTAGATTTTTATATGATTCAAATTAAAGAAGCACATGCTTCTGATGTTTGGCCCATTGGTAACATTGTAAATGTCAAGGAGCATCGTACATTGTCTGATCGTTTAGCTGCTGCACGTCAGATGATTAAAAATACTCAATTGGAAATTCCTGTACTAACAGATACAATGGATGATAATTTCTTAAAATTGTATTCACCATGGCCATTCCGTTTTTTTGTTGTTGTAGATGGTATTTTAAAACTTGTTGGAATGCCAAAAGAAGCACGTTATGATACAACAGATTTAGTTGAATGCTTAAATGGTCTTTTATGTGGTAAAAAAGATTAGTACTGTATCATTCACATTATATTTTTAAACTTGTATTTTATTTTTGTTTTTTGTTTTTATTTTATGATGGATAAATATCAAACTATCCAAATTGAACTAACGCTAGATTTTGTAACATTTATTGCCTAATGAAAAGATTGAAGATCTCGAATATTTGAATTGAACTACATAATGAGTAGTGAAAATTATTTCGTTAACACCAATAAATATCAATATTTTGGTGTTAACAAAATCTAGATGTTCGTAAATGTGTTTTGCTGTGCATATAGAAAAAGACTTACACGACTTTATAAAACATACTATAAAAAAAAAAATCAAATAATATCTTCGTAACTGTCAGGATAAAATTCATCGATTCTCAAATTTGGTAATCCACTATCAATACTTGGAATTGATTCAGTAAAGGAAATAAACTTGCTTCCACCACTAAATGTACCTGCATATGATTTTTCAATATTTTCAAGATTTACTTTTGATTTTTTCAATTCTGACAAAATATTTTTGTCATTTTGCCATTTCACAAAAATTTCGCAGAGTTTTTTGGCTGATGGACGTTTTTCAGGTTCTTTATTCCAACATTCTTTCATCAGATTTATATAACATTGTGGAGCTTCTTTGTTAATTGGTGGTCGTAAGTAATTATAACAGATTTCTAATTGAAGCTGTTGTTTACTAAATTTATGATAATAAGATACAGGCATCCCATATAAGATTTCCCACATTATTATTCCAAACGAATAAATGTCTGATTTTGTAGTATAAGGTTGACTCGTTAGAATTTCTGGGGCAATATATGGTAGAATTCCACAAATCCCACCTTTCTTTTGTTCAGAGTCAGGTCTTGATAGTCCCAGATCAGAAATATACGCGTTATGTAAATCGTCTTGTAAAATGTTTCCACTGTGCAGATCCCGATGAACATAACCTTGAGAATGGATTGCTTCAAGATTTGAAATAATATCATTTAATAGCTTTAATTTATGTTTCCATTTTATTTGAGATACACCTTGAAGATTATCTCGTAAAGAACCATTTGATGCATATTTTAAGACAAGGATATATTCTTTGGAGTCCGGTTGTTGTGTTATTCCATGGCATTTTAAAAATGAAGGATTTTCGTATCCGATTTTACTATATGCTTTAAACTAATCAAATAAATTAGTTATGTGTTTTGTACTGGTTAAATAAATTAGTCATATAATTGAATAATTTAAATAATAATATAATTACCTCATTTATAAATTCATCATAATTTGTTTTATGTAATGATTTAAGGGCAACTTTCGATTTTACAAAATTGCCGCGGGACCACTCAGCACTATATACTGTCAAAAATCCACCTTTACCAATTTCTTTGACATTTTTGAATTCATTGTAAGGAATCGATAATATTTCATGATTTCTTTCATCATTCAATATTTCTTTTAAATCATCATCAAAATTATTTAGTTCAAATTTGTTTCGTCTCCTATTTATATGGATTAATAAACTTGCAATAAATATAACATAAAACTTATATACTTATATAGTCGTCACTTACCAATAATTAGCTAGTGGCAAATCTCTAGTTACACCAATTCCAAATAAATAACATAAACGTACATTATTTATTCCAGTGGCATCACCCATCTTTGCAGATTTCATATACCAGTTAAATGCTATATTTGTATCCTTTTCTACTCCAATCCCATTCTGATAACAATTACCAACTTTATTTATTCCAGAGACATTACCCATATCAGCAGATTTTTTATAATAACTGAATGCCCTATGTTTATCCCTTTTAACTCCAATTCCATTATAATAACAACGACCAACATTATTTATTCCATCAGTATTACCCATATCAGCAGATTTTTGATAATAGTCGAATGCTTTATGTTTGTTTTTTTCAACTCCTTTTCCATTTTCATAACAACATCCAAAATTATATGTTCCATATATATGTCCCATACCTGCAGATTTTTGATAATATTCGAATGCCTTCTTTATATCTTTTTCAACTCCTATTCCATTTTCATAACAATATCCAACGGCATATGTTCCATCAGCTTGTTCCATGTCTGCAGATTTTTGATAATATTCGAATGTTTTCTTTATATCTTTTTCAACTCCTATTCCATTTTCATAGCAACGTCCAATATTATATGGGCTGCCGTCAATAGAAATAAGGCAGATCTACATTTTTTATAAAAATGAGTTATGTTATTCATTTAATAGAAAAA